CAAGTCATCACAAGGAATGCCTAAGGAATGGCACAAGAAAGTACAAAAATGAGGAATGCAAATCTCGCAAGGACAGTCACTCTTATGGTTTTTATATTTCTTGTAAAAGGAGACAGAGCACTCTCCGAAAGCGCTCGGGATAGGGAAATCCTCCGCAGCTGGAGAGAACCAGGCTCCCCTAACCCAAATAATGTTTTTTCTCCAACCCTTCTCGGATTTGATCTTATCCGTGCAGATAGACCTCTTCTCAATGGGGAAAAAGTGGTAAAACGGTTCGTCAGTTCTAATCTTGCTGACCTTGTAACAAAGGAGAAGATCTACGAGGTCCAGATCCAGACCTCTGTCACGAATCAGGAGTAGCATAACGGATAAAATCCTAAGGAAATTGGGGTTTACTTGTAAAGGGGAAAGATTTACCTTGTTAAAAACATAGCAAAAGAAAGGATGTAAAGGAAATCTAAGGAAATTGAGGTGGAGGAGTGAAAACAGGGCTTCGCCGGGAAGAAGGCCAGCATCGGTTCTAATATTCACTTCTCGGGGGCAGTTTCTAATTTCTACATCGTCAGGAAGGTGAAGTTTCATGCGAAGGACGTCTAGATCTACTGTCATGGTGAGAGTGGATGAGGATTCCGGGGAGGAGAAAGAAGTCTTCCAAAAGAAAATTGCAAATGAAACTAACCTTAGAGATTGCAAATGGCAGAAAGTATTACAAAACCACTGGAAGGAAGATCTTTCGCAAGAGATCGCCGGAGAGGATTCAAACAGCAAAAGGTGAGATGGAGACAGAAAAGAGGATCAATGGAGAATCAATGGAGCTTATAAAGACGGGAAGAGCCCAAGGGCCAAGGAGTCAGGAAGGCGATGGGTTGTCTTTTTGAATCTCGAAAAGCCGACCCCTGGATCTAATCGTCCATTCTCCCACACGATTTCCTCGAGCCGTCAGGTCATCATTAGCAGCCACTAATAATTACTCCTTAATCAATAAGGGGTAATTATGGGGGCAGTTGAGGATGGTGTAAGTGGCATGGGCCGGATATGGTTCACGGGAGTGAGATTGGGTCGAATGATTGAAGTAGGATCCATGACAAAGCACCCTGGAATGGGCCGAACCTGAGGGATCCACCGAGGAAGGTCAAGCCCATTGGAAGACCAAGCCCAGAAGGAAGAGAGCTTTCGAATATAGGCCCAATGTAATTGGATAGCAGCAATAAGGGTGATGGCCTATAAATAGATCATGACAGGTAGAAAGTTAAAAAAGAAGGCTAGAGAGAGAGAAAAGGAGAAGAACTGAAATCTTGTATCTTCAATAACCCTTTTATGCAAATAATGGAGTACTACATATACATTCCTATATATATATATATATATATTCCTGGGGACCAGATAATTGAGTAATAATGATTGCAAAAATAAAAAATTCAATTTAACATTATAAAAAGTTTGAATGTATAACCCTTTTATGCAAATAATGGAGTACTACATATACATTCCTATATATATATATATAATTATCTGGTCCCATTTCTATATATATATATATATATTCCTGGGGACCAGATAATTGAGTAATAATGATTGCAAAAATAAAAAATTCAATTTAACATTATAAAAAGTTTGAATGTATAACCCATTTATGCAAATAATGGAGTACTACATATACATTCCTATATATATATATATAATTAACTGGTCCCATTTCTATTACATATGATGAAATCGTAGGTAGAAAAGTGACATGGAATACATTACTGTTGATCTTTAATAATATTTGGTAGGTATAAAAGCAACATGCAAATACGATGGGTGGTGACTTTTTGTCTTTCTTTATACGGCTTTCTTTTACATTTTTAATTGTAGTGGGTAAGAAATGAATTTCCTAATATGCCTATTGATGCATGTTGTGGCCAAATGTATTGCTACAAATAAAAAATAGAATAGTAATCAGAATTGGAACCAAACCAGAACTGTGGAACTGGTTTGGTTCGATTCTAGTTCCATGTACGTCTCAACGATTTCAATTTCAATTCCGTCAAGAACAATACCGAGCCGGAGCATGTGCACCCCTAACAAGATTCTTTCTATTTGAAGGGGTTCTATGTCCCAAGACTATACCGTTTTGTTCCATGTCCCAAGGCTATACCGTTTTGATGCACAATAAAGAGTTCAAAGTCAAATCCACATATTTTCAATAGGAACTCATTTTGGGCTGCGTGCTTGAATACAACGAGAGACATCAAAGAGAGAATATTATCTGGTCTTGGGTAGATCACTAGATATATGATATGTAAGTAAATGCATAAAATTTGTGTCAATTTTACTCAACTTTATATTTGCATGTATTATCTAGTGATTGGCCGAGACAGATGATCCGAGAACCATATAAAGTCTCTACATCCCAAAAGAATTTATTAGAAAAGCAAGGAGAAAATCAACAAGGACAAGAACTGGTATTTATATATGGATTTTTCCAAATTTTAAGGATGGTGGCTAGTTTGTCTACATTTCAGGCATCAATATATTGGCACAAACCTTAGCACATAAATATTAGTTTTTTTAATAAAATTTAAACTATTAAAGCCAATATTCACATGATTTTTTATTATTTAACCAAATGCACTCCTCTAAAGAGAAATGTCTTATTATTTAACCAAATGCACTCCTCTAAAGAGAAATGTCTCTAACTCATATTAGAAAAACCAAATATTAAAGATACATTTGTCATTTATATTATGAAAAATAAAATAGAAAATAGTGCATTCGGTTAAAAAGAGAGTGCATTTATGATTTATCATCTCCTTTTTAATAAAAAAAAAAAAAAAAAGTAAAAAGAAAAAAAGAAATGCACATGTAGGAATCCAACCTTTGCAGCAAAGGGACACTCATTCAAACTTTTTATAATGATAAATTGATTTTTGGCAATATGTGTGTTGTTGAATTGTCCAGTTCCATTATGAAATTAATGGTGCTTCTTGCACTTTCATATGATGAAATGGTGGGTAGAAAAGTGACATGATTATTCATCTTTAAGGATATATATTCTTACGTACGGATCCAACAAAAGCATTGCATCATTTATTTACGAATATCACTAAAAAATTGTAGGTTACTCGTATTTCTTTTACCTTCTAAAATAAAAGATGAGGGTTCGAGTGTCATAAAGACAGACGAAAAATTATCAAGTGAATATCATTTTTTCTACCATTATACCAACATAACTATGTATCGTCCGGTTCGTAACTTTTTTTCAAGAATCCGAAACTGTTACATACCTCTATGAATCGGCTAATTTATACCGATATTCGTCTGAATCCGTTACATAGTGACCACGACCGATACTGCGACTACGAACCATGATATAGAGAGAGAAAAAAAGAAGTATATATTAGTTCACATGCCATTCTCACTCTTTTAATTCTTTTTTAAACCTAGTTTTTCTTTGGTTTACAAGTACAGTAACTATGGGTTTTTTTCATGGCATTGTCATGTTTAATATTCTTTGTCAAAGATTGATTCAAGAAACCGAATGATAAATCAACCAACTCATTATTTACGAAGATCACTAAAAAATTATAGGTTAGTCGTATCTCGTTTACCTTTCAAATTAAAAGATGAAGGTTCGAGTGCCATAAAGACAAACAACCATATATTTATTAACTTAATATCATTTTTTCTACCATTATACCAACATAAACTAAAATTTAATTATATATAGTCCTGTTCGTAACCTTTTTTCAAGGATCCGATACCGTTACATATCTTTATGAACCGGCTGGTTTACATCGATATTCGTCCAAATCCGTTACACAGCGACCGCGACCGATACTGCGACTACAAGCCATGCTATAGAGAGAGAAAAAAAGAAGTATTTATTAGTTTACATGCCATTCTCACTCTTTTAAATGTTTTTGAGACCTAGTTTTTCTTTGGTTTACAAGTGCAGTTACTATAGGTTTTTTTTTTCTTTCATGGCATTGTCATTTTTAATATTCTTTGTCAAAGATTGATTCAAGAATCCGAATGATAAATCATCCATCTCATTATTCCAAATGGATGATCTGAGTAACAATTAGATGGGGAAGAAGGAACCAAATTCGTGAAACATGACTTTGCCACTTTGTTAGGTCAACTTTGTTTCAGCTGTCTTATTACAACCCTACAGTATCAAATTCTGATTGACAATTGACACTTTCAGAATATATTACTCAACATCTAGCAAAACTCTACCAAGTATAATGCAATTATTTATCTTAACCAAGGATATGCTGTTACTATTATTTTTAAAAGTCGAACATATCCAACAGTTTCATGTCCATTAGAGACAACGGTCATCCTAAAGGTACCATGAATAACTAAAATTGAGCAATGTGAAATTGACTTTATCCAACAAATTACAATCATGACTTGTCGTTAGTGAAAAATATTCATTGCACTTACTATTCACTTCACAGCACTGTCCCTCATATAACTGATCTAGAGATTAGAGTGTCATGATACCATGGAGTGACATATTTATCACACTCCCACATGCTTAAAATCAAACCATGATGAGTAGTGCCCCCATCAATATCTCTGTCACTCAGTCTACTGGTAGGAACTCTCACTTGCATTACACTCTGGTATATGCCATCAGCTTCTCTATGAACTGTGGCGCGTCATCATTCAATCGCTTATATAACAACTAAAATTGCTTATGCAATAATTTTATATCATTTATACAATGAAAATATAATTTTCATGTATTTGTTGCATTATAATATAATGTGTTACACTAACTATTTACACGTATCACAGAACTAAGGAAATTTGATTCTTATATACAACCAAAAAGGCACACTTTAAGTACACTAGAACAACCGGTAGTACAACTATTATAAAAGTTACATCTATCTTTAACACGTGTGTGAAATAAAATCCGTTTGATGCGGTATTGCACCACAGCATAGGATCCTAGTTCCTATCTTAAAATAGTGTTTGTTTTTTTTTTTTTTGGCACTCCTACTTCTATTTAAAAGTTGCTCCCCAGCCCACAGAAGGGGAGAGAGAGAGAGCCACCAATTTCTCAACATGGAGGCTTATACTAGCACCGGAATGAAGAAGGCCCTCCTGCTCCTGAATTGCATCCTACTCGCCATCGGCAACTGTGGCGGTCCGTTGATCATGCGCCTCTACTTCACCAAAGGCGGCAAAAGAGTATGGCTATCGAGCTGGCTAGAGACCGCCGGTTGGCCTATCATGTTCATCCCCATCATCATCAACTACATCCACCGCCGCGCCAAGGATAGCTCCACAACCACCAAGCTCTTCTTCATGAAACCTCGTTTGTTCATCGCCTCTGCCGTCATCGGCATCCTCACCGGAGCTGATGACTACTTATACGCCTACGGTGTGGCTCGCCTGCCTGTTTCAACATCGGCTCTAATCATTGCCACCCAGCTGGCCTTCACAGCAGGCTTTGCCTATCTTCTTGTTAAGCAAAAGTTTACTTCCTACTCGATAAACGCAGTGGTTTTGCTGAGTGTTGGAGCTGGAGTTTTGGCCCTCCACACCAGCAGTGACCGTCCAAATGGTGAGTCCGATAAGCAGTATTATCTGGGGTTTTTCATGACACTTGTTGCTGCGGCGCTATACGGTTTCATCCTACCGCTGGTGGAGCTGACATACAAGAAGGCAAAGCAGGCAATTAGCTACACACTGGTGATGGAGATTCAGATGGTCATGTGTTTTTTTGCTACTGCTTTCTGCACCGTAGGCATGCTGTTTAACAATGACTTCAAGGTATATCCTCTCTCTCTATCTACACACGCCTGGACAAATATTTACCTTGTCCGACTGATTGATGTTAGTGGGGATGACATCAGCTCCACCATTAACCTCATTTCCACTCACATCAAAACACGTCGTCCCGACTATCAGACACTAAATGATTTTCCTTTACTCTCACATGCCTATTTATATTCGAAGTCATTATGAGCCCAATGCCTCTATTTTTTTTAACATTTTCCAAATACTTGAGCTGGCCTAAAGGAAACCTTTTAGTATTATTATTATTTTCGTTTTTGTTTATTTGTTTTTGGGTTAGGGGTGGGAGAACAAGTCCTAAAAGCTACTTTAGGGCATTTGAAATTCAAAAGCTAGTTAAAAGAAAATGAAGCATTTAAAACCCTTCTTTCTAAAAGCGACTTTAGAGAACCCAAAAGAAAGGGAGGGTGAGGGGTGGTGGTGGTGTCAGCAGTAGGGACTTTACAGAACCAGAGAGAGAGAGAGAGAGAGAGAGAGGTGTTTTGAATCCAAGATAGTGATTTACCACCAAGTACAAACCAAAAAATAACCAACAATAATGATTTACTAACCTATGAATTGCGCCAAACTGTTGAGCCATGAGAACAACCACCCTTTGATGCAGCAAAGTGAGATCCAATAGTGGGTGGAACTCGTCAGCCTATCTATCATTACTCAATGAACAAAAGCATAAACAAAGAATAAAGAAACGAAAATAAAAAGAACAATGCTACTATGGCCATTAAATTAGACCTAAAACACGGACTTCTAGTCCGTTAGATATGTTTTAAATAATAGTCATGGTTCTACTTGAAACATACCTAAAAACAGATAAGGCTTCGACTAGTGTTTTAAGTCTAACTCATGGGTTTAAGTATCATTTTCCAAAGGATAAAAAAAAAAAAAAAAAAAAAAAAAAAACATCAAAGAAAGGTTTTCCCAAGTTCTATTGAATGTGGCATACCTGTAATCGTACTTTGTAGGTAATTCCAAGGGAAGCAAGAGAGTATGAACTCGGTGAAGCAAAGTATTATGTGGTACTGGTATTCAGTGCCATACTTTGGCAGGGTTTCTTCTTGGGAGCAATAGGAGTCATCTTCTGTGCTTCATCTTTGTTTTCTGGAATTCTAATTGCTGTTCTACTCCCAGCTACAGAGACATTAGCTGTGGTATTCTACCACGAAAAATTTAAGGCCGAAAAAGGGGTCGCCCTGGTCCTCTCTCTTTGGGGATTTGTTTCTTACTTCTATGGTGCGATAAAGCATAGTAAGAAAAGAAGTCAAACTCGATCTCAGGCTCAGCAAATAGACATGACTCAAAAAATAGAGATGACTCAAATTGGAACTCCATAAACATGATTGTTTGATTATAAGCCCGGTAAACGGGAGGGTTGAGTCAGGTTTGGATCAGGTCAAATATGGACGGATGAGATATCGGTTGTAACAATCTATATATAAGAATTACTGCTAGTATCCTTATCATAAGCCTGTAACAATCCATATATATTGCTGAAGCTGGGACTGCATAAAGAAGTATTTGTATATAAGCATTACTGCTGTTATTCTATCAAAACATCACTCTCGTGACAACAAATATGCATACATATAATTATATGAGTATATATGTAAACACATGTTCTCAGCTCATGACAAGTAGGAGCAGCACAAACTTTCCAGGAAAAAAAAAAAGTAGGAGCAGAAAATATTTACAAAGGAAAAACATTTATCATATGCGTGTTAATTAATTTTCTATGCGCTGTTTTTATTCTTTCTACGTCCCCCGGCCCCACCCCCCCCCTCCTCTTTTTTTTTTTTATCTTTACCAATTCATAATTAACTATCCCATCAACTCTGACCTCCATAAGCAAAGCCAAATCACCAACTTGAAAGCAAAAACAATAGATGTTTGCTTCCTTGAAAAAGTTAGATTTCCACTTAAATACGTATTAAGTAGGAAACGATGACGAAGAAGATAACTAAGATGGTTATTTGAAATGGCCATTTCAAAAGGCTCTAAAAAGGATACCAGTGTCTCCAATGCACGACCACTAAACACAAATCATCAACATTTAAGGATCAATTGTTTCAACTCTGCCATTTTTATGTATTTTATTTTATTTTATTTTTATTTTTATTTTTTTACAACATGCCCGGAAGAAGAGATCATACCAACCTAACTAATGGCCTGGTCGTAACTCTATTTTCACTATGCAAAAACCTTCAGTAACTTCAAATCCCCCAACCATGCAAAGAGTATGATCCAACCATGTGGACACAACATAATTAGGATAACCGAAGTGTCAAATAAAAACAAGTTGAGGAACATTTCTATATACTTTATAGTTGACAAGTCTCCACAAATCATTCACTACCATACTCACCATAAGAGCTAGTTACAATCATAGAAATAACCTATATAGATAAAATCATCCATATCCCTTGTTGAATGGAATTCAGTTTCTATGTCAGACAAATAAGAGGTGTAACACTACTGATATATGATACATCAACTTCAGCATTAAGTTACAAAAAAATGTGGGAAAATTAGGTTAAAGCGACAGAGCCTAAACAAAATTGTTCTGAAGTGACTATAAAATTCACAAAAGATGAATAGTCACCAAATTTTAAACTTGAATGCAGATAAGTGATCATTTGAGATTTATTCTCTAAAATGCCCTTCTTATAATGAATTATTTTATAATTGGATAAATCAACCCCATCTCTCTCTCTAGAACAACACATCCTATGTCTCTCTTCTCTCCGTGATTTCTTGTAAATCATCCGGCGCTAGAGAAAACGTAACCATATATAATATATTGACAAGGTATGAAATATCCGGCGGTGAAGGAGAGGTAACCATATATAAAATATTGAAAAAGTAGTGTAGGATGGGACTGTCTAACTTTGCAGTCCTTTGTATCATTTGTCCTGAGGTGTTTTTATTGGTTATTGATTCGATTGTTACAAGTATTTTTCCTTTCTCTTTGATCTATAATCAACTGTCTATCTCATTCGCCAGCACTCAGCACACTTCAATCCATGAAATTTCTCATTAGATTTGACATCGCAGATCCGTGAAGGTGTTAACATCAAAAACTTCACTGACTACTCTGAGTAGAGTTTTTCATTATAGTGGTGGTGGTTGTGGTAGTCATTGTTAAATCCCTAACAACAGGCATTTAAGTTTTGATTTTGGTGACTATTCATCTTTTCTTTATTTTATAGTCACTTTAGAGCAATTTTGTTCAAGTTTGGTCACAGAAATCTAATTTTTCGCCCTAGCATCCATACTAGAGAAGAAAATTAGGGAACATAGTAGAATGAATAAAGATTTAATTTTTTTTTAAAATGTTTGAATTTAATAGGAATGAATACACCAAAGACTATATTCTAACCAAAGAGAAAATGACTATTCAGTGCCAGACAGTTGGTGATGAATGTGGGTAGAAACTAAAAGGCAAGAATAATTGGGTGTGAGCTTTAAACACCTTCTAGTAATAAAATTCTTCTCTTTTCACATAAATTAAAAAATAAAAAATATTTAGAACCCAAATTAGCAAAAATCCTGCTAAGGATGATAACCCTATGATTTTGTTAAGCAACAAAAGGAACAAGATAAACAGAAAGAATTCAAGAATGAATATTATCACATTCATTTACGGTAGTGGGGCAGAAAAATAATATATATAATATATGTTGAGGATGGATTATGCGCAACCCGGATCTGATCTGACTTCCTGAACAAAGAGAAGAAAAGGTGATCCTACAAACACTAGTGTGTTACCGGTGGAGTAGGCTCCAATGAACAAGTCAGTGTGCGAAGTAATCTCTCTGGAGAAATCAAGAAATTGAGTTAGGATTTATTGCGTATCTTCAAACGTCGATTAGCCCCCTTTATTTATAGGACTTAGGTCAGGATGTTACGTAGAGTTACCGCTATCTTTATCCTTATTGTAATCTGGAGGTTTAATCCTTATCGTAATCTATAATCCTTATAGTAATCTGTAGGTTTAATCCTTATCATAATCTGTAATCCTTATCGTAATCTGTAGAGCCTATCTCAATCTTATGAGATAGTGCGTTAATTTAACAACATTCCCTCATCCACGGGTATTTAATTTATACATCCATCAATTACCCCCCATTTCGGAGGATTGCTTGTCAAACCACCGGAATGTTAATTCCCAAATATTACATAATAATAGATAGTTAGAATTGTAGTAGAGCCTTGTCCATTAGCCTGACTCATATTGCCACTTCGCGAATACAGTCGGGGATCGAGCTCGCGGGGGTCCAGGGGGTAGCGCCCCCAGGAATTTCTTTTTATTTTTTATTTTTGTTTTATTTTTAGGACCGTAGATGTCTTTGAGATATTTTTTGTAGTACCACATTGGCAGCTCGTATATATGGTAAGCTGTCATGCTGGCAGCCTACCTCTCAGCACATAGGTAACTCATGTGGGGCTGCCAGTGTGGTTGTCCTATTCGAGGATTGACTCATAATCCTATTCTACCTTGTAAAAGTAAATTCCTATGCAAAATAGCCCGCTAGGAGCTAATTGTCCCTCACGAAGCAGATTTCTATTAGAATTCCACCATAAATATCTTCATTATCTGTTTACGTTCTTCTTCTATAAATCGAGATGGTTTGAGTAGAATTCATTCAAATTACTTCCATCTTCCAAAAAGCCAAGTAGTACCAGTCGTAGTGATGTGGTAAGTTCAATGCCCTTGTTTTCTTCCTTCTTCTATTTAATTCGTTGTTGCTTCTTCCTCCAACTCAGTATACTAAGACCAAAGTTAGAAAATCTTATAGGTCACTGTGAAGCTAGGCTCTTGCATACAGCAGCGTGTGTTATTGCCAGCATGTTTCACCCAGAATCCAACACTATGCCGGACGAAGAACACCACCAGTCTGATTCGGCTCCGTTAGAGACACATCTGGTACAGGACATAGCAGGCTCCCTTACCCTAGATGATCTAGATCAGATCAGGCAAACTTATTCAATTCCAGACAGTGTTGCTCTCAGACTTCCTTGACTTGAGGATAAAGCATTCTCCTTTTACCCAACTAAGATTTGTTTCTATGAGTCTGCTTTCATTGCCGGAGTGCGTTTTCCAATCCCTCTTTTTATTAGGGAATTGCTGCGTCACCTTAATCTTGCTCCGACTCAACTCTCCCCGAATGCCTGGAGAACAATGATAGGTTGTTTAGTTCTGTGGCGAGCTTGTTGTAATACCTCGCTTACTATCTAGGAGTTTCTTCATTGCTACATTCCCAAAAGGGGTGACTGGTTCTACTTCTCCCCACGGGATAGAATTCTTATCTTTGGAAATCCCCTTAAGCACAATGGAAAAGCCGTTTCTTTTTCGTTTCTGGTGATGGCTGGGAATTCTTTCCTGATGAAAGTGTTTTTCCTGCGAATAAGGACTTCCATTCCTCGTGCGTGGTGTAATCATAATTCCACTAGTGAGTTACCCATAATAATACCCTCTTTTATTTTAAAACTCAAAAATTTTTGGTTTGAGTTATTAACAGAGTTGTCGTCCTCTCAGGCTTTAAAGAGATTATCATTTCATCTGATGATCTCCAGCGAATAAAGGAAGCCTTTAACCACTCAGTGAGGGACTGGTCTTCACTCGTGACACCTCAAACTTTGTTTACCCATGGGATTGGTCCTCAGCCTGTTGGTAAGTCCTCTGTAACTATATCCCGAAAACTTAATAAGAGGCTTCTAGCTCAGTTCAAAGAAGGCTCAAGTGACTTCCCACCCACTTCCCCCTCAAAGAGGAAAAAAGAGAAGCCTATTATCACAGCACAAAGAGTCTTACCGATTTCAGTTGTTTCTCCGCATGTATCCGACTCGTAATTCCCTCATCAGCTTGTAGATGAGACTAGGCCACCCCTTACTGAAGCAGGGGTACTCCCCTCAGACCCCTACTCTTCAGCAGCATCTGTTCTAGGCAATGCTCAACTTGCTTTTAAGAAGATAAGTGAGTCTTTGTTGAATGAGGATATGATGTATCTGAATTCTCGCCCTCCAACTAAGATTGTAGACCGGCTCATGCATGATATCGCACGGGTTAACTCTCTCACCATCCTCTATTTTTATTTAGCTTTTCTTTTCCTCTTCATTGTAACTTTTTGTTCACATGTGCGTACAGGTTAATACACACGTGTATTACTTATCGTGTTTAGCTGCAAAAGGAGCGGAGCATTACACCAAGATGTTATCTTCTACTCGCTCCCAACACCAAACCGATTTACAATTGGAGTGTGATAAACATGAGGCCGCTCTACAAGCAGTGCGTGCTAAGTTAGAAGCAGAATGAGCTTGTCATGCATCTTATATGATACCCCTCGATTATAGAGTCACGGGTGATCAAGTTCGAGCACAGATCCGAAGGATATCAAATAATTAATATTTAATCGAACACAGAATACAAAATGAATTTAAGAAATAATAATAAGCTGAAGGAATACTA